AAATGTCCTAATAGTGTAGACAGGCAAGCAAGAATTAATAGTTTTTTTTTTTTTTTTTTTTTTTTTTTTGTGTTGTCGGTGGCTTTTTACAAAAAAAAGTATTGTCGTATTGGGCATGTTTATGTCAACATGAAAGGAAGCGATACGTCATGGCATACGACCCTGACAGATGTTGATGTGCCAAAAAAACTTTTGTTTGCATAATTAATTAAAAAATTATAAATCTATTTTGGCAGTAACTTTGAGAACGTGTATTGAATTGTTTTACTTTTTTAAAATGAGATTTGGTTAATTCCACGTTGCGGCCATTCCCTCGCTACTTCAATAATCTGGATTTTAAATTTTAATCAATCAGCTTCTCAGATTGAAAATTCACTTCACTTAAGAACTAATAAATGACCCATTAATAACTAGTATTTTGTTGTTTTCATTTTTCAAAAGGATTTTTTCTTAAAAGTTTGTTTACTCCCCCACCCCTCTATCTTTTTACAATGTAATCATTCTCCTACCTACTGTCATAATTTTTTTAGTCAGTAGTTAATTATGTTTGTTAGGATAAAAAGCTTGTTTCTTTCATAATTACTGTCCTAATTAACTGAGTTTTTTTTTTTTTTTTTAATCAACCTACTTTTTTCCGTACATAATCAATGTTTCTTTAGAGAAGCCTAATTAACTTTTTTGATTTCCCTTACAATGCCATAATGAGTTTTTGCCAGGTTTTTTTTTATCTTGTCTTGTAAATCTGCTTTGATATGTAAATTCCCGATTTGCTTTACCCTTTTGATGTGCATCGTGTCTACATGCAAGTTATTTTCCTTTGTTGATGCTTCTCGTATTTTTTTTTTTTTTTTTTTTTTGTCTAACTTGTCTTCTCTCTTTCCTTTTTTACTCTAAGTAAATGTTAGTGATGTAGTTGGGTGGAGAATGGAAATAAAACAATGACTTTCATTTTTTTTTTTTTTTACAATGACTGCATTTGAGGCAACGTTTTGATTGCTTTTTTTTTTATTTATACCTGTTATTGTTGCCAACTTTCGTGTTTTATCTCATTTTCATCACTATTATTGCAAAGAAGGAATGTTATATAATATTACAGTACACTACACTCACCCCAAAGCGATGCATTTTTACTTGAAACTTTTTAACTTTTTATTTTAGTAGTATTAATTGCAAATGTAAGTACCACCACTAAAATCGCTATCAAAGTTTAAAATGAATTTTTATAAATCAAAAAGCTTTCTTGAAGCGTTTTTATTTTAGCTTTAATTAAAAGCTAAAGGATTAAATTTACTATTTCCAGTAAGCAAAATACTCAAGTGTATTTCAAACAAATTATATTGATTGGAATCAGTTTTTCTTTATAAAATAGATGATTAGCGCCCTTTTTAATCGTTTTTCATCGCAATATAATTCTCTGTATTAAAAAAAATCTTCCAAAAATAAAATATACCTTTCTGAAACTTTATTTAAGAAATATTAGCTGATTTAACGTATAATTAATCTGATTTTAAACAAATATTTACTTTAAGTTAAAAATAAGAGGAATGCATTTTTAAAACTGATGTAGTGATTTAAATGCTTTTCACCGTTTGTCAATCACTTAACAAACACTTGTAAGATGTTGACAGGTTTATTGTTGTTCTATGGAGACTTTATCTATTATAACATAATTTAAGAAAATGACGGACGAAAGCTTTTTAATATAATTTTTAAGTACTCTGTAATCTTAAAAATGCTGGAAATATTCTCTGTAATCTAATTTTAGAAATGTTGATTTTAAATTTACTATAGTTATCGATCTTTCTGATAATGTTGTGTATGGTAACCCATAATTTCAAAACGGGCACATTTATACACACACACATACACACAATTATTTTAAAAATCTTAGTGCATGATGATTTGTATTAAGCTTTTCAATTTTTGCTTAGTAAATGTTCACTTAACTTAATCAGATCAAAGTTTTGAAGAGTTTTTAAAAGACATTTGGAAACATAAATTATTATAATTAAAAAAAATGAAAACAGTCCTTGTAAAAATTCATTATTCATTGAAAAATAATTTTTTCTGCAGACTATATTATTTCTAAAAGCAATTAAAAAGCTTATCTAATTAAATAATTATAGTTTTATTTATTTTGGGGAATTACATTTTCCAAGGAGTCCTGCGTTTAATTAATAAAACAAATTTCGAGGGTGGGATTTAATTTCTAGAAATTTTGTGAAATTGAGCAAGTTGTGTTATATATATATATATATATATATATATATATATATATATATATATAATTATTTATTTATATTTTTAATTTATTTTACCAAGATTTTCTAAAGAAGATAATTTCAAAAATAAATTTGAAAATTTCATTAAATTCCGACAGTTATTTGATTTTTTTTTTTTTTAACATGGAGGTGGATGTTTTTCTGAGTTGGCATTTACATGGCAAACGTGATGTAAACGCATTTTCAAATTTTTTTTAATTACCCAGTAATCTTAAAAATATTAAGTATTCTAATATTTTATTTGGCTTTATAATCTTACTTATGAAGATGTTTGTTGAGGAAATGTTACAAATTTACCAATAAATCTTAAATTTATTATAGTTGCTGTTTTTATTTTCTGATAATGTTGTGTATGGGTGTCTATATTTACAAGAATTGACACATTTATACAGAAAAAAAAAAAGGTCAAAATTCTTTTTAAAATACTGGGATTGCTGAATTGTAAGCTTTTCCATTTGATTAGTAAATATAGTTTTTATTTAATAACAATATCATTTGACTGCTACAAATTAATACATAATTTTAAAAGCACTATTTACATTATTCGGACTATTGTCCTCATCTTTGTTGCCATATTTATCACAACGTTTCAGCTGTTGTACACTTTGGCTTTCTTCAGGTAGTTGGCATGTCGAACTGAACTCTTTATTTCGCTCACTATGGTAGACTGTTCTAGTTCCACGTGCCATGTCTAATGGATGTCAGTTAACAGTTATCTCCTGTTAATTCCCCTCTCCAAGTTCTCCACCACCTTAACCAGGTATTGAACTCGCTCTTTGGGTCCTGTCACTGGATCTAATGCCATTATCCACTGTGCCATGTGAGGGGAATTAACAGGAGCTAACTGATAACTGACATCCATTAGACATGGAACGTGGAACTAGAACAGTCAACCCCAGTGAGCGAAATAAAGGTTTCAGTTCGACATTCCAACCACCTGAAGAAGGCCAGAGCATACAATGACCGAAATGTGATAAATATGCGACAAATAGTCCGAATAATGTAAATAATGTACGTAATACCTCATCTCAGAAATATAGACAGATACTGAATTTTAAAAGATTTAAGTTTACAAATTATTCTAATTAAAATTTTTAAAAAAATGCAAACAATTGTAAAAATTCATTATTCATTAAAAAAAAATTGTTTTTCTCAAGACAAGTGTCCCTAATATATTTTCTACATAAAAGCAATTAAAAGTATTTCTGATTAAATAATTTCTTAGTTTTGTTGCACTTTCTTTTTATTTTACAATTGAAAAGCAGATTTTCTGTAACTGGAAGAAAAAAAAAAAAAAAATGCTTCTAGGTGTTTTCTTTATAATTAATATAAACATTAAATGCTACCAAAAAAAAAAAGTGTGGAGGTAAAAAATGTAAAAAAAATATTCATTTCTAAAGTCCTGAAACTCATTAAAATCAGACAATTTTCTTTGGTTTGCAAATTCTTGCAAAAATATGTGCTTTTCACCATATCAAATTTCCCACATTAAATTTTGGCAATATGTTGATGCCAAAGAGACAAGATTTTTAACCAAAATTTTGAAGGTTCTAAAACGTGATAATTTTTTTTTATATACTTCTAAAAAATCCTTGTTTTTCATCTTAATAATGACAAAAAGGTTTTAAGGATAAATTTTGTTTTATGCATCTCATCATGTATCCCCTTTTCTTTTTTCTTAACAAATCTTTGGAGGTGTGTGTTATATATATATATATATATATATATATATATATATATATATATATATACACACACACATTCCTGAATTTTGCGAAAAAATCTAAAACATAATCAGTGTTCATGAATGAAGGAACATGTTACTGATGTTGTAATTATATGTACGACATAAAGGCATTGCTAATAAATTTATGATGAAAATAAACTGAAAATAAGGACAAAAGAAATTTAGTTATTGCGTGCCAGGAAGACATGGGTGTATATTTATACATGTATATCTGTATGTACAAAAGGTAAAAGAACGTGTGAGCGAGAGAGAAAACGTGTATGAGTTGGTTGCAAAGTAAGGCCAATGTTGTCAGATATGGCAATAGAGGTTGAACCTTTCCACTAATAAATCCATAACATGTTTATTTGGTTTTTGTCTTCTTGTATACTGGAAAATTTATGACAAAGACAGGTCAAATTTTAATGTGAGATATCGCACGCGAACACACACACAGACACAAACATGCAATTATAGGCCAAATGTTTGGGGTTACCCTCTGGATTTAAGTCGCTTAAAAATTGAAGGTTATGTACCTTTTTCGAAACTAATTTACTATTTCACTTTGTGCCAGAGGGACTTTCTCTTCAAAGCATTATATATCCAATAATATTAACCCATTACTGCGTAAAGTTTCCTTAAAATTTGATCTCTTTTTGTCTAATCAATTTTGCTGGTTAATGTGAATCTTAGGGCTGGTACATTTTAAATCTTAGATAACCTCTTCTTTAAAAAAAAAAAAAAAAATGGATGCCATGTACTAATGGTTTAAATAGTTTATCCTAGCTGAGTAGGAGTTAATTAAGCTGAAAAGGCATGAAACTTACTAATTATTAAATCCAGAGGATGGCCTCCAAATTTTTGAAGTATTATGTATATATTGCAATTGATACTGTTAATCATAAAAATATTTAAAATTTTAAAATGTTTATGTTAATCTATCACAATTTTTTCCATTATTTAATTTTTGTCTTTTTCAAATTTAATTTCAGATACTTTGGACAGTTCAATGCCCTCCATTAGCTCTATGCCAATGAATTCCCCACCAGACATCAAACCAGACATATCGTCTTTGACACCCACCAGTTCCCATGGCCATTATTTTGGATTTGGCCACAGTATCCAGCCCCAGATGCCCTCTTCAGTTCCATCAACAATGCCCTCATTACCAACCACACTTCATTCAAACATGTCCTCAATGGGCACCAATCACATCTCCTCACAGGGCCCTCTGCATTCGCCCCCCTTACAGTCTCCTCCTTCGTCCAGCCTAGGGTCCCCACCTATGATGTCCTTGAGCCCTGGTTCTGCCAGCTCACCCCCTCACTTATCAAGCTCCTTCCCAAGCAAGCATATCTGTGCCATATGTGGAGACCGAGCATCCGGTAAACACTACGGTGTTTATAGGTAAGTACTTTGCTTACATTTTTGTGCTTGTCTTTTCAATGTCTAGACTAGATAATGTAATATATCTGTGAATGTGAAAGATTTAATGGTCATTTAAAAAGTTTATTCTGACACAAGGCCACTATGACTGAGCACCCAGTATGTAAATGTAATTGTTCTGTTAGATTGCTTCATGAAAAGTAAGTAAATAAAAACTAATTAAATAAATGATTTCTGGTACGAGAAACAAGAAATTTTGCAGCACAAAGGATTTGAGGTGGTTTTTATTTTGATTGCAACCTAGATATCCTGGCATCAAACAGGGTGTGGCAGAAATACCTCCCACATTTTAAAGGTTGACAAAAAGACCAAGGTAACTGCTATTAAATTTATTACACTGTTGTTTTAACAAAGGTCTACAGTTTTTATTCATTTGGTTTTAAAATTGGCATACTCCAAATTGTGGCCCCTATTAGCCATACACTGTTATAAACGATTTCTAGTTTTTCATCATCCTGAAGTTCAAGCACATTGAGGGTTTTTTCAGGTGGCTTTCTTTTAAGTGGTGAATCTATGGCCCCTGAAATTTTCAACCCATAGCAGTATTGATTTTTCCATCCAGAACAGCGTCATGCCAATATAACATTGGGTACAAAAAGTTCTCTGTGTTGCAATTACAGATTGACCAGTTTTAAAGAGTTTCAACAGCAAACACACGGTATGTACTGGTCCAAGCCATGATGGTAACTGAAAAGAAATGGCAAGGCATTAGCTGGTTGGTCTTTGTACCAGATAATCAGATTGCATCTTGCATTTTTTGCACGTTTGGGCCTTTCAATGGTGGTTTCTTGTAGTTTACTGTGTTCTGTGCTTTCGATATCTTTTTTTGTTTATGAGGTGTTCCAAGCAAGGGCTCCATCTTCTTGGCACTGAAACTCCAAATAAGGTTCCATCTCCAAAGGGTTAAAACCTTTGATCAAAGTCGACAATTTATTTAAAATCAGCAGATTAATGCCAAAGGGTAGTCCCTATAATTCTGGGGATAGGAAGAAATTTAGAAAGCAAACTCTATCAAACTATGTAGTTTTCTCTCTTATTATTTGTATGTACTTACATGGAAAGAAATAATTTACTTATGATTTTTAGTTGTTAAATATATATGACTTTTCTAGGTTCAGTATGCAAGATTTGTGTATTAAAGAAGTGGTGGCTGCAGACTTTATTTATTCTCATGTTTACTCTTGTTGATCTGGTGGATTGGTGATGACTCATCTTAAAATTTCAAACGATTAGTCTTTGCATATATAGTGCAAATTGGTTGGATAATACTAAACAACAAATTACTACGAGGATAAGTGTGTTGTTTTTTCAACTAGATGGAGTATGGTTATTAAAAATTCAGAATTGTTTTAGCATGTCAGAATTTTGAATTTTGTGCATGATTGGGAAGACCTTTCTTCTCTCAATTACTACAAAGAGGAGAAAAGAAAGATAAAAAAAACCCAAAAAACCTTTTTCTTTGCCATCTGCACATTGTCATTCTACAATAAATAGTGCATACTGATTCTGAATCTATAGTCAGAATTGTTTTAGCATGTCTAGTTGTTCAGATATGCCCATAACATATTTATGTTGAAAGTAAATCTTAGTGGAATATTAGTACTGCATATAGTATATTAGTAAATATTTTCAGTGAAAAATTAGATGATTGAAATGACTAAAATATTTTATTTCTAATATCATCAGAAATGCTTGAAACATTTTGTACTTGTGCATTGGGTTGCTACCAGCAATTGCTACACATATTTCAGTTGAACTGGCTTTGATACGTTGATTCTATTTCAGATATATCCTGGTGGGATCTCTTGCTATGCTTATTGCTTATGGCACCTAGATCCATTGGGGAGTAGAAGGAAGAAACAGAAGAATGCAACAAGTTCATTTTAAAGAGATATCCTGCATTCTATGTGCTTTTAAAATTTATTTAATTGACAGTTTTAATCTCTAAGAGACCCATGAAAGTTTTTGTCCAATTAACAAATTAACATAGGTACCTCCACGAGATCACTAAAAAAAGAGCATAGCATGATGAAAGAGACACCAAACTTGATGAAAACAAAATTTTAGCATCTAAATGTTTATTATTAAGAGGAAAGATCAAAGTATTTTGGAGATTTTTTTTACATTTTTTTTTATTGTTCCTAGCACGTCCGAAATTTTTGTTAAAAATCTTTTTTTTTTTTTTTTTTTTTGTTTATTTATTTTTTTTTGAGTCTGCAAAATTGACAGATGGCAACCATTTTTTCCATTTTATAAAAAAAAATAAAGATCTCAGTTTGAAATTCTTTTAAATATCAATTGTCATTTTTTCAAAACTTATTTTAAGAAAATCAGAATGTTATGTTTATTTAAAATATTTTGAATCAAGCTTAACTTAGCTTCTGCACTGAAAAGAAGTAATTTGAAAATAAAACAAAGCAGGTCATAAACTTTCACATCACTTGACAGGTGATGAATGACATATTGACGGATTCCGTGAGGATAATTTGTTCTATGGAAGGAGAAAAGTGAAATTATTTTCATTTAAATGAACAAATTATTTACCTTGTTATTTTTAATGAAAACTTTCAGTGCTCTATTTTTTTTTTTTTTTTGTACTTAGCTTACACCTTTACATCTACAATGCTTTATGGAAAATATATTATAAAAAAATGAAAATAAGACTGTTAAGAGTTAGATTAAATTTCATAAGAAAGGTATCGAATTAATTTATAGGTACCATATGAAGTTTTATCAGAAGTGTACATAAAATACTATAATTTTATGTACATTTACTACATTTTACTGTGTTATTTGTATTGCCATTCATTTTATTATTAATTTTGATATTTCATTTATGGAAAAAATGCCATAACTGAGATTTATATAAAAATAGTATATAAATTTCATATGATACTGATACTTTTAGGTACCCTTCTCAGTTGAAATTGAAAAATCAAATAAACTTCTCCACATGTGTTTCGCAAAGGTAAAGGCCTTAACAGCGGAGAACAATGCTTAACTCAAATAATGCAACTTAATTGTATTCTGGTTGGTCTTCCATACTTTATAATTACAGCCTGATTATAAACACAAAATTACATTTCTTAATTACTGCGGGTATTCTGATTAGATACAATTTACAACATGCTAAAAAAAGATCTCTCTCATAAATCCACTTACAAAAGTGGATATGGCTTTTAACTAATTTTATAATATTTTAACAACTTTAAATGTAGAAATCTATTATAATTAAAAAATTACAAATAATTGTATTAAAAAATTTTTCATCAAATTTTTTTTTGCTTTCAGAAAATATTGTCCATATTCATTAAAACAACTAAAAGCAAATAAAAGCATTTGAAATTAAATATATTTGTTTTATTGAGTTTATATTGTTTTATTGTGTTTTTAACTATTGTAATTACGAAAAAGGGATTCAATTGAATTTCTAGAGTTTTCATAAAATTAGTTGGGGGATGGTAATAAATATAAAAAAAATATTTCTGCCATGACTTTAATAATAAAAAAAACATATTTATAATAATTTTGATCATCTGTGAATAGTTTCTGAAAGTTACATTAACATCCAACAATTATTTTTATTTTTGCATGATTTTCCAAATTAATGTGTCATACAAAAAAAACGTGCTAAAAATTGTATACATTATTTTACTAGTTCTGGTGATACAAAGAGAAACAAGGATTTTTAAATGAAAATTTAGATTGTTCTAAAAAAGGAAAAAAAATTTTAAAAATAATTAAAATAAACTTTGATCTTTCCTCTTAATAATAACATAAACATTTAGATGATAAAATTGTTTTTGTCAAGTTTGTCGTCTTTTATGCTATGCTTTTTTTTTTTTTTTTTTTTTTTTTTTTTTTTTAGCAATCTTGTGGCGGTACCTAAATTAACAAGAATGAATCTTTTGTTGCCTCAGTGTTTCAGCCATTTGAATATTATAGCTTATTTTGCATAATTAAGCTTTGGTGTTTTGTTTGGGATATTTCAGTGTATGCACTGATTATATAAACATTGTAAAATGAAGAACAATCACTGATCTTGGATAGTAACAACATTAATCAATTTATTATCAAACGTTTAAAAAAGAAAAAAACGATTTCTGATTTTTTTTTTTTTTTTTTTTTGTCTCAATTTCTGGAATGAGGAGTTATCATTACTTATATTTAGACTATTGTCCACATATTTGTTGTTTTTATCACATTTCAGCCATTGTGCCCTCCAGCCTCCCTCAGGTGTATCGATCTGGATAACACACGGGGAATTCAGAACTGAATGCTTTATTTAGTCTAATGGGCTATCCTCATTTCTAGGGTTGGTTGGTTGGTTGATTTTGTTTAGTGACTTATCAATCTCTATGGGTTATTTAATGCCGAAATCTAAATATTTTGTATGCCTTTAACCCCAAAATGTATTGCTGGTCATTTTGCTATAAGTATGTATTACTGGTATTTTTACTATAAAAATGTGTTTTTATACTTTTTATTTGGGGGTTCACATAGCTAACGGGTACTACTAACATGTGTCAGGGTGGACCTGGGAATATGCTCCTCAAAACCTTTGATCTCCGACTCTGAAGCCTTGCTGCTGAATCTAGTTTGTCATATCCAGGACTTCATGTCTAGGGAACAGTCTACCCCTGCTTGGGAAGAAATGTATGAATGTAAGAGAATAAAAATGTGTATGTGTAGTTATGTTTAAAATGGATATGCAAGATGTTGTATGGTTATTAACACTGGAAATGGAATCTTGAGCTTGCTTGGGTTCACATCACTATATTGACGTTAAGGTATGAAACACTTTCCCTTTGCCTCATCACCAGATATCTTGACAAAGTTCTTAATATAATCATGCTACAATGGTTGAGTGAAGAGGTTATTCAGGTTATGCAATCCTGTACAACTCTTTTGTTACATGATACTAAAGAGATAGGCACTACTCAGTAACTCTTATTGTCCTC